TAGATAACTAAGGAAATCTACCTGTAGAAACTTACATGCATCTGAATATCCTGATTTATATGTTTAGAGGATATTTTTGTCTTATTTAACCAAAATGTAACAAAATTAAAGCCAGAGTATGCCCTATATAAAACAGTATGTGCATTGATCACAATATAATAAGTTACATGAATTTCTTTAAAACCACAAAAGAATAAACAAAATCTTCCAACATCTCTTGAAACCAATGATATGCACACCAGATTACTTTGGGGGAAAAATTCTGGAGACATTTGTTACTGAGTTTATAGGCTTATTTTAAGGTCTGTTGTATCCAATTCATGATCATTCTCATGTCCTATGTTACTACTGTTGTGGTTAATATTAATTGTTATAGATAGTATATAATCTTTATGCTTTGAATTCAGACCTAAGATCATTTTATTAGAATTTAATAGGAATTTCAGAATTCTTTAATTTTCAAGAGTCTTAAATGTATTCGGATACAGTTTTTTTGCCTTTTAAAATCTCTTTTAGTGTCATGTTTAGTAAAAGCACAGGTTATGAAGCTGAATTTAGAATATTTACTTTTTAGAATGCCACTAATTTAATAAGAGGTCTTCTGTCCATGGCCATTTCTATCATCAATATTTAATGTATTTTCCACATCCGATAAATGTGATAATCACTTTAGTAAAGAAATAAGCAGACTTTGGGGTACGAAATTAAGACTCCTTTGAATAAATAGGAAAGTGTGGAGGCTCTAATGTGACAGGAGAAACATTTCTTGGTTCAGTTTTGGATTACTCTATTTTCTCAGATATGTAATTAAAATCTCAAAAAGAAGACATTAGCATAAGACTATAAAATTTACAATGAAAGGTATTGTATATAATCTTAATCTATAACTTAAGTGCCTTACTCATTATTAGGAATGCTGTCAGTAATGCTTTCATCTGTTTTTATTTGTATTTGCATCTCTCAATTTTTAAAATTTCTTCATTTTGAGATAATTGAATCTGAAGCAAAGTGAATGTAATGCCTTAAATATCAGTGCATCATAAACAGACAAGAATTTTCACTTTGAAATTGAAATTACTTCTTAGGCGATTATATAAATACTAGTAATAGTATTTTTAGTATGAGTTAAATTGCTTGATCTAGATATAAAGTCACCGGTTTTCAAAAAAGTACTATTAAGCTTATTTATAATTCAAAACCATAAGTAACCTTTTTTAAAGTGACCATATATAAATTAAAAACATGATTCTGTGTAGAAACTAAATGAGTTAACATAGCAGTGATTTTTGGTTTTGTGTAACATCAAATCATTGCCTCATTTCTGAGCTCTTGAATCTAGTGTGTTATAGCTACATGTATAGGCCATTGATTGTTTCATTACTCCAAAATCATATCTGAGTAGATGTAGGGTTAATTGTATTACAGTACTTGATCTTTTGAGCTCTGTTTCCTCAATAGGTGTCTCAGGTTGCCTGTGTTAAAATCCCAAATACTTTGTTGAACAGACTACCTGTTCATACAGGAGCTACATTGTTGTATAGCCTCATTCCTTCCGATGGGTGTGGAACAGGATTAAAGCACACTTTATAGGGGTTCTAATTGTAGATGCCTAATTGACTTGATGAATAGCAGATGCTAAAATTTAAACACACACATATGCATACATAATACCTGTTTCAGGACTGATCTGCATGACAGAACAAATATCTCACAGGTGTTGAATGCTTGTAAGATAAAAGAGTAGTCTTTCCTTGTTTCCCAAGAATTTTCTTCTGAAGTTTATATGGATTTTCTGTCTCATTGTTTCTTTTCTTTAAGTGGCTTATGGCAAGAATCCATTTCATCTTTGGCTGCACTTTTTACTTCTGAATGCAGACTTGAGTTTTCGAAGTCAGCCAAAACTAAAAACAGCAAAACCTGTCAACAAGTAAATTTTCACACATTTTGGGAAGGAAAGAGGAAAGAAAAAAAACTGCTGACTCTACTCTCTGGCCTAATAGGAAGACAATTTCTTCCTTTCTTAATTCTTCAAGAATAGTTTAATGCATTACTCTGAGTACTTACAAGGTCTCATGAAGTTGTCATCATCATATGAAAGAGAAGTGTCTCAGGCTGGGAATTTGACAGATGGAAATTGATTTTTTAAAATCAATCATGTTAGTTTTTAACTCAATGTTTAACAATTTCCCAAATTTCTTAGGGAAAATAGTTTTCCATAATTTAAAAAATCTTGAGGCTGGCCCTGTAGTGTAGTAGGTTAAACCTCTGCATGCAGCGCCCTCATCCCACATGGGCACTGGTTCGTGTCCCAGCTGCTCCTCTTCCTATCCTTCTCCCTGCTAATGGCTGGGAAAGCAGCACCAGATGGCCCAAATACTTGGGCCCCTGTACCCACGTTGGGTACCTGGAAGAAGCTCCTGGCTCCTGGCTTTGGAACTGCCCAGCTCCGACCATAGTGGCCATTTGGGGAATGAACCAGTGGATGGAAAACCTTTATCTCTGTCTCCCTTTCTCTATAACTCTGCCTCTCAAATAAAAGAAATAAAATCTTTTAAAAAATAATTTTATTTTGAGTTAATAGTAGACTCATATATGTAGTTGTAAGAAGTAGTACATGGGGCCAGCACTTTGGCATAGCCAATAAAGCCACCACTTGCAATGCTGGCATCCCATATGGGTGCTGATCAGGAAGCTCCTGACTCCTGGCTTCAGATTGGCCCAGCTCCATTGTTGCAGCCAGTTGGGGAGTGAACCAGCAGATTGACGATTCTCTCTCTCTCTAACTCTGCCTTTCAAATGAATAAGTAAATCTTAAATTAAAAAAAAATAGTATAAAGAGGGAAAGAGGGTGATACACATGCAAGAAGAAAAGAATAGTACAAAGAATTCTCATGTATCCACTACTCAGTTCTTCCCAGTGGGAACATCTTTTATAAGGGTATTTCAAAACATTTGTGGTTAAATGGGAATTAAAAAATAGCTATTTTGCTGCAAAACACTTTTGAGCTCCATGAATAATACACAGTTCACTTTTGTCATAATATACTTTTTCCATTAACTTTGAGAACTCATGTGCATGGATTTCAGAATCTTTTGAACCGAACTTTAAATTCCATTTTTCCTTGGACCTTTTGAAGTATCCTCATATAAGTACAGTAAATTATCACAACTAAGAAAGTGATATTGGTGCTATCTACCAGCCTTATAAAGATTCCACCAAGTTGGTTTTTTTTTTTTTTTTTTAACATTCAATTTATTTATTTGAAAGGCAAAATTGGAGAGAGAGAAAAAGAGAATCTTCTGTCTACTGGTTTACTCCCCAAGTGGCTGCAGTAGCCACGGCTAGGCCAAGCCAAAGGCAAGAGCCTGGAACTCCATCCAGTTCTCCCAAGTATTAGACTATTTTCTACTGCTTTCCCAGACACATTAACAGGGAGCTGGATCAAAAGTGGAGCACCCAGGACTTGAACTGGCACTGATACGGGATGCCAGCAAAGCAAATGGTGACTTAAGACTGGGCAGCGACACTGGCCCTGATTTTACACGTACTCACTTGTGTGTGTGGTTTGCAGCTTATGCTCATTTGTGCATGTGTGTATATTTCGTTCTATTCAGTAATCACATGTAGATTCCTATAACTACCACCGGGGATCCCTCATGTCACTCATTTAAATCTCCAGATTTACCCCTCCAACCTCTGGCCTCCTATAATCTTTTCTGCATCTCTATATAATTTTCTCATTTAAAGAATGTTAAGCAGTGGTAAGCACTGTGGCACACTGGTACAATGGGTTAAGCCACTACTTGGGATGCCCACATCCCATATTGGAGCTCAGTTTGAGTCTCAGTGACTCCGGTTTCAGTCCAACACTTGCTAATAGTCCTGGGAAGCAGGGGATGGTGGCTCAAGTGCTCGAGGTACCCCTCTCATATGGGAGACCCAAATCAATTTCCTGGTTCCTAGCTTCGGCCTGATGTAGCCCTAGCTCTCTGGACATCTGTGGGCTGAACCAGCAGATAACAAATTGATCTCTGTTTCTGTTTCTCAAGTAAGTCCTTAAAAAATATCAAGAGTCTTCTAAATGTTCATGAAAAATATTTTTATTAAAAATATTGTTCATGGGGCTAGCATTGTTGTACATTACCGCCTGTGATACTGGCATCCTATATGAATGCTGGTTTGAGCACTGGCTACTCCACTTCCCTGCTCATGCATCTGGGAAAGAAGCAGAGGATGGTTCAAGTTCTTGGGCCCCTGCCACCCACACCAGAACCCAGATGGAATTCCAGACTCCTAGCGTTGGCATGGCCCTGCCCCCATCATTATGGCCATTTGGGGAGTGAGCCAGGAGTTGGAATATCTCTTTCTTTCTCTCTGCCTTTCAAATAATAAGTAAATACTTTGAAAAAAAAAGTTTTTTAAATTATGCATGGATTTCAGCTTTTCGGGCACCAAAATAGACTTATCTTTTAAGTCAATTTTTCCAGTAATTTTTTGAGGTACTCTTATACATACAGCAGATATGTTGACATAAAAACACTACTGTCCTTTGTTAAGTACTTTTCTGTAAGCAGTTGTGCTTCTAGTCTAGGACTTCCTGCCACAATCTAGTTTAATCCCTTAAGACTTGAGCTTATATAAGTACTGTTGCTCTTAGCAGATACATAGGCTGTGTCAGAACATAGACCTTCATTTACAGTGAACTTCTAATTACATGCTTTCCTCTGGTATTAGAAAGGAAATAACTCACTTTAGGTGGGGAAAGCTTCATTCTACTTGGCTATCATATAATACAGTAAAAGCAATAGTGTTGTACATATTTTGTGACCTTAGGGTACAAGTCAGGGGAATATACTCTACAAACAAATGGGACCTGGTTATTATTCAGAGGCCAGATTTAATACTGTAGAATTTGATTCATAAGTGCATTTAGATAACTGCTTTAGAAATAGTGAAATGTACAAATAAAATAATACAGTTTTTTCTTTTTATTTTTCAGGTTTACAAGTAAAAGTAACTAAACTGAAAAAGGAACGAATTTTGTAAGTATTAGTGTGTAATTCTGACTGATGTCTTATTTATAAAGTGATACTGGTGTCCTATCTAAACTCATTGTCTTATTTATAAAGAAATCAGCTTTCCTTGGTGTGAGCCTTGGATTATTGCCATTGTTCTCAAAATCTAAAGCAAAAAGAATATCTTTGTATTTTTAATTACATCTTTAATAATTGCATGTATTTATTTGTATTTTAATACATATAAAATATTTTTCAAGATGAGAACTTATCTGTTAATTCATATTATTATTATTATTAATTTATTTGAAAGCTAGAGAGGTAGACAGATCTTCCATCCACTGGTTCACTTCCCAGATACCCATAACAGTCAGGGCTGAACCAGGCCAAAGATAGGAGCCAGAGCTCAATCTGGGTCTCCTGTGTGGGTGTCACAGACCCAACTACTTGAGCCATCACCAACTGCATATAACAGGGTACACATTACAGGAAACTGGAATTAGCAGAGCAGAGACTTCAGCCCAAGCACTCTGATGTGAGATGTGGGCATCCCAAGTGGCATTGTAACTTGTAAGCCAAATGCCTGCCCCTCATTCTCATGTGTCTAACAACAGCGTTCTTTTCTCAGCTGTGTTAACACCTGGGATTCACAATAGTACCGGGAGGAGGGGAGAAGGTGAAAAGGGGAGGAAGGAAGGCGGGGGGGGGGATCTGTGTTACTGTACAAATGTTACTACCTTTGCTTCATGGCATAGACATGTAGGCTAGAAAGCTGGAGTTTCTGCTCACCCGTTAGCACATGCTTACTTGTTTTCTATGTTGTTATCTGAAAATGAAAATTGGGAAAATCTTCACACCCAGAAAGTCATATTTGGAAGTAGACTTAGATTCAGAAACATAGAATCATAAATTCTAAAATATTTTAATTAAAATTTAATTAATTTTTGATTCTTATCATTTACCAACACTTGTAAATGTTTTGCATTGTTTAAAGTATCTGTGTTCCTACCTTAAATATGTCATTTTAAACTCCCTTGGCCACAAAATTACTTTTTCCTTGGTAAAACTGTGTTTAGTTCCCACAATTGAGAGATGTTTCTTTACTTACAGAGGAAATTAAATAAGTCTTTTCTGAGTAGTAACTCTAGCATGTATATCTTATTAGTAGTATTAATTTTTCTTCTGAAAAACAAGAATAACGAGAAGTATGCTTTCACAGTAAGTATACTTTCACAAGCATACTTTCACATTGAAAGCCCCAAGTAGGGACATTCCCGGATTGTTTAATCAGTAACCCAGATCCTCAAAGACTCAGATTCTTTTCTCTGTCTCTTCTCTGCCATTATTAGTGTTCCACTTGCCCCTTAGTCTTTGTTTTCTTTAAAGATTTATTTTATTTATTTGAAAGAGTAACACAGAGAAGTACACACACATACACACACAGAGGTCCTCCATCCTTTGGTTCACTCCCCAGATGGATTCAACAGCTGGAGCTGAGCCAGTCCGAAGTCAGGAGACAGGAGCTTCTTCCGGGTTTCCCACACGGGTGCAGGGGCCAAAGCATTTGGACCATTTTCTCCCGCTTTCCCAGGCCATAGGAGAGAGCTGGATCAGAAGTAGAGCAGCCAGACTCTAAGCGATGCCCATATGGGATGCCAGCACTGCAGGCTGGGTCTTTAACCTGCTGTGCCACGGCACCAGCCCCACCATTAGTCTTGACTCACTGCAAAACGGTGAGATGACCGTCATAATTATAATCAAAACTTGCAGAACATCTATGTGCCCCCCCCCTTTTAAAGATCTATTTATTTATTTATTTGAAAGAGTTATAGAGTAGAGAAGGAGAGATAGAAATCTTCGATCTGCTGGTTTACTCACCAGACCGCCACAGTTGCCAGGGCTGGGCCAGGTCGAAGCCAGGAGCCAGGAGTTTCATCCAGATCTCCCACATGGGCCCAAGCATCTTCCACTGTTTTCCCAGGCGTATTGGCATGCAGCTGGATGGGAAGTGGAGCAGTCTGGACACAAACCAGCACTGATATGGGATTCCAACACTTCAGACAGCGGCTTAACCCACTACACCACAGTGCCAGTCTCACATGTGTCCTTTTTAATTACAGCAGTTTACCAGAAGCATCAGCCAGCATCCTTCCTCTAACTTCTGACCATAATTTTTTGGTAATATCTAAACAATATCTGCAAAGGAATCAGTATTTTTTTGGCTCAGATTAATAAAGATTCCTGCACTACTTTATATATGTATTCTAGAATTGAACAAATAAATATTTTCTGTAATGAGCACCAAGATTCTCACTGTCAGGAGAAAGGTGTTACAAATACTGAAAGGGAGAAAGCTGGAATGAACCCCATGCTGTTGAGTAGGAATTAGAGTTCCCAGTATGCACTTCTTTTTAATATAAGAAACATTAAATCACTAAACAGATTTAAAAGAATACAGAGATATGTTCATGTGTGTCAGGACATCCACATATTTCATAGGCTTGGTATGTTGAAAGGTATTAGAAGCGATGGCACTCCAGTAACTCAAATGTTGGTTTCTTAACAGTGTTCTCTAGTAAGAGGAGTCAAGGTTTTTTGGAGAAATGGCTTATTTTAGGATTAGGGCATGCAAAGTAGTTACAAGATAAGTTGGAAAACTGGAGCCAGAAAATAAGGAAATGCTCAAAAAGGGAGTGTATTTAAAGGATACAGAAGGCAACTTGGGAAAAAATTCCCAACTTCATAATCTAGGACAACTTGAGTAATGAAGTCATGCTGATAATGTTCTGCTAGTTGTGGAATGAAGGGACAGCTCTTCCTTATTAGAATTTCAGTAGTTAAATGTAGGAAGAATGCCAGTGGAAAATCACCATTTGGCAAAGATCACAACATTAACTGTTAAAAGCAAGAATCAACAATGGAGGCTAAAAAAAAGGATGACATTATGAGAAATAATATTTGCAAATTTTATAAATTATTCAGAGTTTATCCCCCACAAGATACATTATTAATTACAAAGGGAAAAACTGTAATACTTTAGCAGAGAAGCCTGGCAGACTGAGTCTTAATAAATTGAAGTTAACATTTACCTCATGACATGGTATAATAAAAAGTGTACAACATCACTTCTGTTGTAGTCTTATCAAAAATGCATAGCTTGAATTTTATTATGGGAAAACATCAAACAAACACAAACTGGAGACAGTCAGCAAAATAACTAAAAAATGCTTTCAAAGGTGTCAGGGTTATGAAAGACAAAGAAGACTGGAGAGACCATTCCAGAATGGAGGAGACATGATAGTTAAATGCAATGTTGTATCATGGGCCAGAGAAACTATATTAGAGGAGCAGTTGACAGAGTTTTTTTTTTTAAATAAGGTCTGTAGATCAGTTAGTACTATTTATCAATGTTAATTTATTGATTTTGATAATTAAACTGTAATGCCAAGTGTTAATATTTTGAGAAGCTGAGTGGTAGGTATACAAGTACTCTGTGTTCTATATTTGTATCTTATTTGTAAGTCTGAAATTACTTCCAAAATGAAACATTAAAAAAGAATACCTTCTCTCAAAGCTACTGCTGTATGTTGAAGAAAATGAACATTGATTTTAGGAAGGAATAGAAAGGAAATGACTCTTGGGTAGGCAGCCAAAACTGTTGCTGTAGTTAGGTCCTAGTACTGTGGCTCAGGGAGTACTAGCAAGTAGAACTGTTGGCGTGATTTCCTTAGATAGCATAAATTTTGTTTGCTCTGGTAGCAATAGAGATTTCAAAAAATTCTCAGCCTTTCAATACACTTTAATATTTCCTTTTGTTTATGCAAGAATCATCTGAATTACAGAAAAAAAGACTTTATGTACAAGTATGTAAATTCTCCCTATAATAAAAATGACTCCAAAAATAAATGTAATGAAATTGCATTGGTTTGGGTCAGCATTATAGCATACCAGGTAAAGCTGCCGCCTACAGCACCAGCATCCCATATGGGCACCAGTTCATGGCCTGGTTGCACCACTTCTGATCCAGCTTCCTGCTAATGGCCTAGGGAAAGCAGCAGAAGATGGCCTAAAGTGCTTGAACCCCTACCCATGTGGGAGATCTGAAAGAAGCCCATGGCTCCTGGCTTTAACCTAGCCCAGCCCTGGCCATTACAGCCATCTGGGAAGTGAGCCTTCAGAGGGAGATTCTCTCCCCATCTCTCCCTCTCTCTGTGTAACTATAACTTTCAAATAAATAAATATATCTTTAAAAGAGAGAGAAAGAGAGAAATTGCATTGGTTGAATGAGGAAATAAGATCATTTTCTTGGTTAATAGGTAAAATTTCACTTTTTTTTGTTCACTTGAAATCAAATAGGGAAATACCTTGTTTTACTCTGGAATAAGCAGATTTTCTTCGATGGGGAAAGTGTTTTCTTTGAGTGATTTGAGATTTGAAGTTAAGAAATTGCCATATTGTTTTCGACTTCATTGTTCAGATAAACCTGCTAGTGATGGTTTATACAAGCACTGTTAATCAGAAGACAAATACTGTCACTGACTTGGTAGGGTGACTTAATCAACATACCAAACAAAATAGCTAAATTGTGTGTTGGAGTTATCTTGTGAATCTCCCTTTATATATAGCAATGCTTTATAGGAGTTCTTTTTTTTTGTTTAAAGATTTATTTTATGTATTTGAAAGATAGAGTTACAGAGAGAGGTAGAGACAGAGAGGTCTACTGTCTGCTGGTTCACTCCCCAGATGGCTGCAATGGCTGGAGCTGTGCCGATCCGAACCCAGGAGCCAAGAGCTTCTGGGTCTCCCATGTGGGTGCAGGGGCCCAAGTGCTTGGGCCATCTTCCACTGCTTTCCCAGGCAATAGCAGAGAGTTGGATCGGAAGAGGAGCAGCCGGGACTAGAACAGGAGCCTATATAGGATGCCAGCACTTCAGGCCAGGGCTTTAACCTGCTGCGCCACAGTGCCGACCCCATAGGAGTTCTTTCTAACACCAAAGGTTTGATGTTTCAGAGTTGCTTAGTGGTTAGTGTGCTCCTTATACTATACCTTGGCTCAGTATTAAATTTAATGATCTTGTAAATGCTGGATTACCAACCACTGATTAGAGTGACTCCCCTAAAGGAGAAGTCAAATGCTGCTCACTTTTTTTTTTTTTTTTTTTTTTTTTTTTGACAGGCAGAGTTAGTGAGAGAGAGAGAGAAAAAGGTCTTCCTTCCATTGGTTCATCCCCCAAATGGCCACTACAGCCGGTGTGCTGTGCCGATCCGAAGCTAGGAGCCAGGTGCTTCCTCCTGGTCTCCCATGTGGGTGCAGGGCCCAAGGACCTGGGCCATCCTCCACTGCCTTCCCAGGCCACAGCTGCTCACTTTTTAAGAAGCAGTACTAAAACCCAGAAATTATTGTGTTTGCCATTTGACTATATAGTTTAAAGCCAAATTCACTAAATGTTCTTGAAGAAAATTGATTTTATTAAAATGGATCCCTCACATAAGGCTAATAATTTTAAGTATTACTATTTTAATGGTAGTGTATATCCATAAAATTCATTTTATCTTAGCTTGAATCAGAATCATTTCCCTGAAGATTAAGTAATTTAGAAATGATCTAGATTTGCTCTTTTTATACCCAATGTTTTATATAAAATGTATTACTCTACAACTATACCATGCGAAAAAGGTAAAATCCAGTTAAAAAAGGTAAAATTTGTAGATGAATGTTGAATAATTACTTTCTCAGAAGTAGTAGTAGGCTTAGCCTACTATACCACAGCACTGGCCCCAGGTTGAATGTTTTTAAAGCACAGTAAGTTGCTAAGTTCCCTTTTATTTCACTATTCCTGTTTTACTACATAGTGGAACCAGGAAATTGGGCTTACCTATATCACCATAATCTCCATTTCCCAGTAAATTTTACAGTATACAGTTAGGATGCAGTAACAGTTATGATGTTGTATCTCCATGTTTTTAGAATAGGTGTATTTGTAAGATATCCCAGTCCTTAGGAATTCTCAACTGGAAGGAGCAGTTTAGTAACTGGGTTGTGTGTGTGTATGTAAACTATCACAGTCCTTAGGAATTCCCACCTGGAAAAAGAAGTTATAAAAGGAATCAGTAACTATACTATTTGTTCAACACTTACTTGTTTCAGATTTGTATTCTGATGTATTTTACAAGTTGTCTGTGTACATAACTAATGTTTTTTCATGAATTCATTTGACTGTTGAATATTGTGAGATTATTTAGAAAGTTATCCTTGAGTCTGGTCTGCCAGATCCTTTTATTTTTATTTTTATAAGATGTCTTTATTTGTTTATTTGAAAGGCAGAGTGACAGAGAAAAGAGACAGAACAAGAATAAGGGGTGTGGGCTGATATTGTGGCACAGCAGGTTAAGCTGTGATGACAGCATCACATATGGTGGGTGCACGTTTGAGGCCTGGCTCCTCTGGTGTGGATTCAGCTCTTTGCTAATGAGCACAAACCAGCACTATGATATGGAATATGAGTGTTGAATATGGCGGTTTAACCTGATGTGCCACAGCATTCAGCCTCTGCCAGATTGTTTTCACCTGTTTAATCAGTGATCACAGATAACATATACCAATCAGTATCCATTATTTATCAACTGTTTTGACTGTCACTGGTCAGGTTTTTTTTGTTTGTTTGTTTGTTTTGACAGGCAGAGTTAGAGAGAAAGGTCTTCCTTTTTCCATTGGTTCACCCCACAAGTGGCGCTACAGCCGGCGCGTTGTAGCCAGCGCATTGCGCCTATCCGAAGCCAGGAGCCAGGTGCTTTTCCTGGTCTTCCATGTGGGTGCAGGGCCCAAGGACCTGGGCCATCTTCCACTGCACTTCTGGGCACAGCAGAGAGCTGGACTGGAAGAGGAGCAACCGGGACAGAATCTTGTGCCCCAACCGGGACTAGAACCCCGGGTGCTGGCGCCACAGGTGGAGGATTAGCCTAGTGAGCCACGGTGCCGGCCTGTCTTACTGGTCAGTTAATGAATCTGATCATTCTGTTTATATCAGCCTTACTTAAAGAAAAATAATCCTTATATTTTCTACTGAGGATATAACAAAGGTGATATCTACCAAATTCAACCATCCAAGTACTTAGTAAGTATTTAGTACTTGGTAGTACTTACTAAGAAAATTCACTTATTAGTGACTAAGAAATTTAGCAATTCTGAAGTATGGCCTAATCCCCTACAAATAAAACCTTGTTTTCTTTTATATTATTTTTTAAATTAAGGGGTTTAAAGAATTTAAAAAAAAATCGTGCATTTGTGCAGGACTGTTTTCATATCTTTGATTTCTTATTATTAATTGGGTAGTAAATAAATGAGTAAAGGTGGGGCCAGCAGTGTGGCTCAGTAGGTTAATCCGCTGCCTGTAGCACTGGCATCTCATATGGGTACCAGTTCAAGTCCCATCCACTCCACTTCTGATGCCTCTCTGTTAATGGCCTGGGAAAGCAGTAAAAGATAGCCCAAATGCTCGGGCCCCTGCACTCACGTAGGATACCTGGAAGAAGGTCTTGGTTCCTGGCTTCCGAACTGCCCAGCTCTGGCCATTGTGGCCTCTGGGGAGTGAACCAGTGGATGGAAGATACTCTCTGTCCCTCTCTCTGTAACTCTGCCTCTCAAATAAATGAATAAATCTTAAAAAAAGTATGTATGTGTGTGTGTGTATATATATATATATGTATACTAATGCCTTTTTTAAAAACTGAGTAAAGATACCTTATTTACATGAACAATTGACCAAAAAAAAAAAAAAAAAGTAATGTAACAGTAAGCATACATTTTGAAGTTCATTTTGACAAAGTTGATTTTTTTGGCCGACCCAGAATCTACTCCTTCCTGTGTGTCCCAGCATCATATACTGAATGCCTGGCACTTAACAGTAGTACTTCCATTATACATAAAAGCACTGCAGAGCAAATTCTAGTGTGATTTTCACTCTGATTAACAAGATATTCAAACCTCACTTTTTAAGTTGCTGTATTTTGATGGAAGAAATCCATGATATATAAGTGGTAAGACCAAACTTTGAAGTTCTGATTAGAGTATTACCCTTTTAGAGTATTTTTACCTAGAAAACTTCTATATTTCTTGACCTTTAGAGATGCACAAAGACTGGAAGAGTTCTTCACCAAAAATCAACAGCTGAGAGAGCAACAGAAAGTCCTTCAGGAAACCATTAAAGTTTTAGAAGATCGGTGAGTCTGGTTCTTGGGTCTTGAGTAAGAGGTGTTTTTCCCCTCAATAGTAATCACTATATAATCAGCTCTGGGATTAAAAGTGATCTTGTAACACCTGCCCCTTCATAGATACTATTTAAAAAAAAGATTTACTTGTTCATTTATTTCAACAACAGAGCAACAGAGACAGAAAAAGAGATATTCCACCTACTGGTTCACTTTCTCATGCTTGCAATAGCCAGGGCTGGGCCAGTAACCAAAAACTCCATCCTGATCTCCCACATGGGTAGCAGGGACCTGAGTACTTGGGCCATCATCTGCTGCAGTTCCTGGATGCATTAGCAGGAATATGGATTGGAAACAGAGTAGCCAGGACACAAACTGGCACTCCAACATGAGGTGTGGGCACCACAGTGCTGGCCCCCATATATATTATTAAGAGAGGCAGCTGAGAGGAAAAACTGGAGGTAATACAGAAGTTAGGGAATTTTGCTTCATTTTATAACTGTCTAACCAGTGACATTTTAAAACTCCTCCTACATTTGAAGTTTTTATTTTAGTTCTTGTGTTTGACCATTGAACCTTTGTTTGTATTTAGGTCTTGTTTTCATGGTCCTTTACCTCTCAGTTATGTCCCTGAACTATATTAGAGGAAGCTACTGATGTTTTTACCCTTCCCTGAATCACTGTTCCTCTGCCCTGAATCAGTGGAGCCTTTACAGTATGACTGTTGTGAAGGGTGATGATAGTTACATTCTATATTTTTTCTTTTTCTTAGATTTTATGTATTTATTTGAGAGAGAGAGAGAAAGAGAGTTAAAGGCAGAGGCAGAGAGAAAGGTCTTCCATCTGCTGGTTCACTCCCCAAATCGCCACAAAGGCCGGAGCTGGGCTGATCCGAAGCCAGAAGCCAGGAACTTCTTCTGGGTCTCCCATACGGGTACAGGGGCCCAAGGACTTGGGCCATCTTCCACTGCTTTCCCAGGCCATAGCAGAGAGCTGAATCGGAAGAGGAGCAGCCGGGACACGAACCAGCGCCTATGTGGGATGCCAGCATGGCAGTTGGAGGCTTAGCTACTGCGCCACAGCACTGGCCCCATTACATTCTTTTTTGTTACAAGATTTCAGTCTTTTGTATTTTAAGTTAATTGTAGACTTTGTAAAATAGTAAACAGTGTGTTTGCTCTTATTTTAATCAACTGTGTAAGTATTCACTGTGGAGTAAGGATTACATTTCTTTCTCTATTGTGTCCATGTTTTGACTTCTCTGGCCACTGAAGGACAGTGTTTCTATTTTCCAGGTCAAATACATTCTTTTCTACTTCCTCCTCAGGCAGTTGCTTAAATCAGCCCATAATTATAACAACTTATTGTTTTGTTTTTCCTAGTATTTCTGACTACCTTTTAAAATACTGAGACAAGAACTATATTTTCCTTACTACATTATATTTTTTTAAAAATATTTATTTATTTGTTTGAAAGTTAAACAGAGAGAGAAGGAAAGGCAGAGAGAGAGGTCTTCCATCCTCTGGTTCACTTCCGTCGCTGGTTCACTCCCTAATTGGCCATAACAACCAGAGCTATACCAATCCAAAGCAAGGAGCCAGGAGCTTCATCCGGATCTTCCGATGCAGTTGCAGGGGCCCAAGGACTTGGGCCATCCTCTACTGCTTTCCCAGACCATAATAGAGAGTCAGAAATAGAGCAGCTGGGACTTGAACCGGTGCCCACTGGGGATGCCAGGCACTGCGGGCAGCGGCTTTACCGGCTACGCCACAGCGCCGACCCCTCCTTACTACATTATTAATATTACTTAATGTTTTAATTATTCTACCATTATTATCTTTTTTTGTTGTAATTCTTTTTTTTCTTGGACATATAACTTCTTGGGCTGAAAAACTTTCAATACTAATTTGGACCATTCTGAATTTTCCTTCATTGGCTCTCTGCATTAATTCCATTATTTCTTTTACCTTATTTTAGACAGTTAACATTTATGGAACTCCTGCATTGTGCTAGGCACTGTTTTATTCCTTGAGGATACACTAGTTAACATGGTCAATAAAACCTGGACCTGTTTTACCTTTCTTTTTTTTTTTTTTTTTTTCATGCTCATTCTGTTATAACTCACTCTCAAGTGCCTGCTGAGAATGAGCAAACAGGAAGTAAATTTTCAGAGTTCTTGTACGCCTGACAGTGATTGTATTTGATGATTGCATGTAGTTGGTATTTTGGCTGTAAATTTCTGGGATCAAAATAGTTTTCCCTCAAAACTCTAAAGGCTTTTTCTCATTGTCTGTTAGTATTCTAGTTCTGGTAAGATGTCATGTCATTCTAATTTTCATTCCACTATAGGTAACAGATATTTTTTACCTTTCTGGAATTTAAGATGTTTTTATCCATAATGTGTGTGTGTGTGTGTGTGTGTGTGTGTGTGTATGTGTTTGTTTCCTTCATTGTGTTACACACTTAACCCACTAACCTGCAGACTGTTGTTTCCTAAAGTCTGACAATTTGTTTCCTTTTACTGTGTCTCTTCCTTTTTTTGTGGTCTCCTTCTGGAGTACTTAGTCATAAATTGATTCTCTGTTATCTTTTCTCTCATTTTCTGTTTATTTTCTTCCATGTTCTGAGAGACTTCCTGTTTTCCAACGCTGCCTGTTGGAGTTATTTTGATAATCTCATGTTTAATGTTAAAGAAATTTGATATTGTGTGTATGTGTGTCCCAAAATATAAATTGTTGAGTTACTCGTCCTTTATATAATATAAAATACCCATGAGTGTGCCTTATACAAGTATGTTCATTGATGACTGAACATGAACTGTGCTGTCATGAATGACATAATTTTTCAAAATTGTAAGTAGGAACAGTTCTGACAAAGTAGTCATATTTGTTTAACAATCAGAGTTTAACTAGTTTAATCAAAGCACCTATTTTAACTTTTAAAATTATTTTGTATGTGTGATCAGTAGTCAGCAAGAAATACAGATAAATGAATGATAAAAAGGAAATGATTATGTAGCTAGAGGATCAGCATCCATATCAGATACCTGTTGGTCTTCTGTTAACTCTTCTCTTAGCTCTGAGTTTAAGCCAAAATCACCTGCATTCTTAGAGTATAGGAGAGAATGTATTGGCATGATCATTTCTTTAAACATACTTCTGGTACATGTCACATTGTTTTTAGGTTTGTTCTGTCTGTTAGAATTTTATGTGAGAATGGAAATGTTCTACGTCTACACTAATAAGGTAGCAGCTAGAGACGTGTGGCTATTGGAGCACTTCAGTGCAACTGGAGGAGCGCCTTTTTATTTTTTTAAAAATTTTTTAAATTTATTTGACAGATAGAGTTAGATAGTGAGAGAGAGACAAGAGAGAAAGGTCTTCCTTCCATTGGTTCACCCCCAAAATGGCTGCTACGGCCAGTGCTGCGCCAATCCGAAGCCAGGAGCCAGGTTCTTCCTCCTGGTCTCCCATGCGGGTGTAGGGCCCAAGCACTTAGACCATCCTCCACTGCCCTCCCGGGCCGCAGAGGAGAGCTGGACCGGAAGAGGAGCAACCGGGACTAGAACCCCGCCGCCCATATGGGATGCTGGCGCCACAGGCGGAGGATCAACCAAGTGCGCCAGCGCACCAGCCCCAAGATAATTCTTAATAACATTCAGAATATACCTTTCTTTTCTTCCCTTGCTCCACATCCCTTCATGCAATATATGTATTGCCTTCTTCTCTTTAGTACTCACAAATTATTAGTAAAAAAATTTGTAATCTATTTTTACATAATAATACATTTTGAATTTTTACTAAGGTTGGTTCTTGATGCTGAGAGGAGCATATGAGGTTACTTTTTTTTAATTTATTTATTTGAAAGGCAGAGAGAGTTACAGAGCAGCATATGCCATGGCAGAGAACTGGATCAGAATTGGATGGGCTGGCACTGTGGAGTAGCAGGTAAAGCTGCTGCCTGCAGTGCTGGCATCCCATATGGGCGCTAGTTCGAGTCTCGCCGCTCCACATCCAGTGCAGCTCTCTGCTATGGCTTGGGAAAGCAGTATAATATGGCCCAAGTGCTTAGGCCCCTGCACCCGCATGGGATACCCAAAAGAAGCTCCTGGCTCCTGACTTTGGATTGGCACAGCTCTGGCCATTGCAGCCAATTGGGGAGTGAACCAACGGATGGAAGACCGCTGTATCTTTGCCTCTCCTCCTTCTCTCTCTCTGTAACTCTGACTTTCAAATAAATAAGTAAGTCTTAAAAAAAAAAAAAAAATTGGAGCAGCTGGGTCTCAAACCAGCGCACATATGGTTTGCTGGCAGTGCAGGAGGTGGCTTTACCCTCTGTGCCACAGTACTGACTTCCAAGATGACATCTTTATTCCTTCATATTTCCTGACCTTTAATGTTTATTCAAGAAATAAGACATTTTTGAATACTTACTGTCATATGCTATACTGAGCAAAGTGGCTACGAACTTGGTTAAGATATAATTTGGTCTCTTGGTATGGGACTAGGGTTCATGTGCTGACCTTAATAAATAAAAGCAACTTCAGTTCCTTTAATAAATTTCCTTGGAGTTTAAAATTGGCAGATTTTTACACAGTTTCACTCAGAATTGCACTCTCTAGAAAATGGTTTCATAGCCTGATTTCAGCATATCTAAGACTATAACTACAAAACTCAATTAATCTAGTTGATTCTCACTATATTTATCAGGTCAATTCTTAAGATCTTCATAAAGTATAAAAATGTCAGAGTACAAATGTAAGTTGAATATCCCTAATTCAAAAACCAGAAATCTGAAATACTCCAAAGTCTGAAACTCTCACTCATAGTTTTGGCTTTAGGAGGATTTCAGATTTTAGATTTTCATTTAGGGATGCTCAACCAGTAAACATCTGTACAAATATGCTTAAGTTCAGAAACACCGCAGAATCTGAAAGCTTTCTGGTCCTAAGCATTTCTGGTAAGGGATACTCAGTCTGTGTTGGGAAATGTCTTTTAATTTAAGAAAAATGTTTTGTTTTGGTTTCATAGGTTAAGAGCAGGATTATGTGATCGCTGTGCAGTAACTGAAGAACATATGAGGAAAAAACAGCAAGAATTTGAAAATATCCGACAACAGAATCTTAAACTTATTACAGAGCTTAGTGAGTTCCTTTCAGTTATTAAGTATTTAAAAATTAATATGTTGTTAAAATCTATTAGTAAATTGGTTGTAATCAAATGGATTGTTTCCGTATCCTTTTCCTTATTTAGGTAACAGTTCGAATGTTCCTTTTTCCCTATTTGTAGATCTAATCTCCTGCTTTAGTAACTAGTAGGCTTCAGAAAGGTTGTCTAAATACTGTCCACATTGGCCTTGCAGTCTCACCAGTTCTCAGACAAGAAACAGATATCCTTTGGACATGTCCATGTCCTGCTTTGGTTTATATCATTATTTCAGGTAATTTGATTACCTAGTCAAATTAAATACAAAGCAAACAATTTTATAAAGATGTATGCTTTTTGGTTTTCATAATATACAATTATAAATGTACTGTTTTCAGTTTATTCTCCTTACCCACTTAATCTAGGGTTTTCTTACAATACATTACCTGGTTTACCCATAAGTAGTGTACAACCAACATGTCAGAAATCAAATTAGCTATCTTCTTTTCCAAACTAATTCCGTATTTTGACTTTACTATTTTTTTTAGCTATGTTGCTATCGTTTGGTTATGTAAGCAAGAATTTATAACCACATGCTTGTTACTTTAGAAAGAAATAAGAAAAAAAATATAATCTCAATGTGCCCAGCAGTGACTGCTGTTAGCAGCCTGTATGTGTCTTTCCAGATGCAGGTTTGTTTTTCTGTTTATCTCTGTCCTTCATTTTACCTCCCCCAGTCCTTTCTCTTTTACCTTGATTTATTTTTTTTTTTTTTACATTTATGTATTTGAAAGGCAGAGTGATAGAGACACACACAGAGATCTATATATATGTATATGCTGGTTCACTCACCAAATGGCCGCAGTGGCTGCGACTGGACCATGATAAAGCCATGAACCAGGAGCTTCATCTGGATCTCCCACGTGGGTGCAGAGGCCCAAGGACTTGAGCCATTTTCCATTGCTTTCCCAGGTGCATTACCAGCGAGATGGATCAGAAGTGGAGTCGTAGGGTCTCAAACTGGTACCTATATGGGCTTTTGGCATTACAGGCAGCAGCTTAACCCATTACACAACAATGCCAGCCCCTCTTAAAATTTTTTTTTAATTTATTTATTCATTGGAAAGAGAGATCTTCCATCTTGTAGTTCACTCCTCAAATGCCCACAATAGCCAGGGCTTGGCCAGGCCAAAGCCAAGACCCTGTAACTTAGTATGATGCTACATGGGTGGCAGGCATCACCTGCTACCTCCAGGTTATGCACTACAGGAAGCTGGATCTAAAGTGGAACTGCCACTCAAACCCAGGCATTGTGTTACAGGCTGCTAGTATCCCAGGCGGTATTTTAATCACTGCCAAAGGCCTGCCACTGCCTTTTTTTTTTTTTTTTTAATCACTTCTAGCACATTCATGGGGGAGTCTGTTCCTTTGACTCCATTGCAGGGGTTCAGGCCTACACTGGAGATCTCAAGTTCAGCCCTTCCAACGTAAGTGCAGTGCGTACTTCCAACATCTGCTCACTTACACTGCTCAGGTTTTGGCTCATGGTTTTGTTTTGGTTGAGCCTTTGAAAAAATATTCCTAATGTTAGTTATACTTAATAAAAGGTATTTTTCCTATATTAAAATTATTTATCCAGAAGCGAATTCTTTTTAACTAGTTTTAAACCATTTTTAAACGTTAATAGTTTTATATCTCTTAATTTGATTTTCTTAAATGCAGTCTTAGCCTCAGGGAGAAGCCTTTTTGCTGATAATAAAAGTAAAAAATTGAAATTCTGATTTATAGGGGCCCTCCAGTGGCGCAATGAGAGGGATAAGGACCCCTGGCTGGAGAGGTTTTCTGTAGGGCAGATGGATAGTTTGTGGTACATCATATCAGCATTGATAAGACTTGTGGACTTCAGTGGAAATTGTAGTTTCAAATTGGGTTTCCGCTTTATAAATTAAATAAGGATGAATAGGAAAATTTAATGGTGATAGATTCAAATAGTTCATTACTTCAATGTATATATTTATATTACTGATATTGTAATTTTAAATAAAACATGGAGCATGATTAAAGCAGAAAATTTGACTTTATGAATTTGCTTATGTTATAAAAATTATACTGATATTCAGTGTTATATTATTTTTATGATTGAATTTCAAGATAAATCTCTCACTAAAATGATATTTGGAGGCAGACAACTGGCCTAGCAGTTAAGATGCCTGCATCCTATATGGGAGTGCCAGAGATCAATACCCAGCTCAATTTCTGAATCTAGTTTCCTGCTAATGCAGACCCTAGGAAGCAGTAGTGATGGTTTAAGTGGTTGGGTCTTTGCCATCCATATGGGAGACCTGGATTGAATTCCTAACTACTGGCTTCAACCTGGCCCAGCTTTGACTGTTACGGGCCTTTGGGGAGTGAACCAACAGAAAAGAGCTCGCTCTCTGTTTCTGTTTCTCTTTTTCTCCCTTCCCCCTTTACCTCTCCATTTTCCTCTTCAAGAAGTAGAAAATAATTTTATATATAAATTAAAAGAACTTAATAATATAAATAATTGAACTTATTGATAGAAATTAATAGAACTTAGTGATCAGATTAGAATGCTTTGTTTTCAGTATGAATAATTAGGCTATACTCCTTAGTATATGAAGTGCTCTCTTTTTTTCCCACAAGCGTTACATAAATTATCAGTTAGCTATATGGAACTGGAACAGTATGAGTGATCACTGCCTAGGAACAAATTATTTTTGCACAGTAATGTTAACCCTGTACAACATGACATGAAAATCCTTATTTCTTTATAAATGTTGACATTTTATTTAAAACTATTGATATAGATGTTAATGTAGCTATTTTATGTACCTTTTTCACATTGTTTTTAAGTGAATGAAAAGAATATTCTCCAGGAAGAAAATAAAAAGCTTTTGGAACAACTACAACAGAAAATTGAGTGAGTATTTTTCCTGAATTGTAGTGCAGGATATTTCTGCCCAACCTTCTTTATTTTATGTCGCTCCCCCTCTTCGTGGAGGAACGACACTAAACCCTGCCTAGGCTTCATATCCGAGTCACGGCACCATTATGTCGCTCCCCCTCTTCGTGGAGGAACGACACAGGACCCTGCGCTGTTCTTTTGTCTGCTCGGCCCTCCCCGGGTTTGCTGCTGGTTCTTCCCGGGTTGGCTACTATCCCTTCCACCTCCGTGGAAGGGCAGTTCCCCCTGGCCACATTCCCCACTTCCGCAGGGGAGCGGCACACCGCCGGCCGGCTTTCTCGGGGGCTGCACGGGTGTTCCTTCAGCTAGATGTTCCCCATAGATGTTCCCCGGTGCATGCCGTCTCTCTCCTCCTTTATAGTCCTCCTCCGCCAATCCTAACTCGGCTGCCCACACGCCGAGTACGCTGCTCTCCAATCAGGAGCAAGTCCTACAGTTAATTGGTTGAACTGGAGGCAGCTGTGCGGAAGCTGTTTACTTCTCTCCCAGCGCCATATTGTGGGAGAGCAGATGCATAGAATAAGTCTTAATTCCAGTAACTTAGTCTAGTCCGAGCTGCTCCCCACAGAGGAGAGCAGATGCATAGAATAAGTCTTAATTCCAGTAACTTAGTCTAGTCCGAGCTTGCTCCCCACAGATCCCCCTTTCTTTTTATTTTTTAGCGTTGATACGCGCCTGTCTTCGGTGTCCCGCGGCACACACTCTGCTCTCCTTGCTAGAGTTGCCACAGGCTCTTACAAGTCCTATCAATCAGGAAAACCGAATCCGGGTCCTCTCTTCGCCATGTTGTGAGGAGGTTTTTAGGCGCTGATGCGTGCCTGTGTTCGGTGCCCTGCAGCGCATGCTCTGCTCTGCCTGCAGGGGACTTACAAGACCTATCAGGCAAACCGAATCCAAGCCTTCTCATTGCCTTATTGTGGGGGAGACTTATTAGTGTTGGTTCGTGCCTATCTTCGGTGACCTGCAGCTCATACTCTGGTCGAGCTGCTTGTTGGCGCTTACCGCCTTAATCAGGCAGACCGAATCCAAGCCTTCTAATTGCGGTATTGTGGGGAAGCCTTACTGATGTTAATTCGTGCCTGTCTTCGGTGACCTGCGGCGCATAAGCTGCTAGCCGCCCAGGTGCACATCGCCTCACTAATCGGGCAGACCGAATCCAAGCTCTCACATTGCAGTGTTGTAGGGAGGCCTTTTTATTTCTCTATTTCTCTATCTCCGGGCATTCCTATTTCTCCCATTTTACTTCTATCTTCCAGCATTCCTATTTTTCTCACTTTACTTCTAAACTTCTGTTTCTCTTATCCCTGCGGCTTTCCAGCACCTCGCCCCGCCGGCGGGTTCCCGGCTCTGCGCCGCTTCAGCCCGCGCGCCTCTCTCATCTGCGCAGCTTCCCGGCTTTGCGCGGCTCGGCTTCGCGCGCTCCGCGGTCTCCACGCTTAACCCTTTCGCGTCTGAACCACGGCCTACGCCAGCGTTCCCTATCTATTCACGCCCCGTGCTCTCTCTGCACGCGGCGGCTTCCGCGAGTAACACAGCGTAGCTTGCGTCTCCACCACTAGCATTCAATCCAAGTTCCCCGGGCTAGCCTGGCGAATTCAACCCAGCGTACGTCTCCGCCCCCACGGTTTGGCTTCCCGTCCTTTGCTCCCCGGGCTAATCAGACGGATCCCAACCAGGCTCACGTTTCAGCTTCTGGCTTCAACTTTTCGCCCCCTATTCCCGGGCTAACTTGAGAATCCCAAAGTGGCTTCCGTTTCCGCCTCGGCCTGCCCCCCGTGGCTTCAATTTCCCTAACATTTTTCTCTACCCGGTATGTTTCCCCAAGCTTTCCTCCAACGATATTCCTCCCTCATTTCTCCTGGCCTCTCCCCACAGTCCGCGTCCGAGTCTGTTTGTTCTAGCTTTCACTTTCGCTTTCGACCTTAGAGATTTCTCCCAGCTTCCCCCCGTAGTCCGTATCCGAGTCTATGCCTAGGCTTTCAATAGCTTCTTCCGGCTCCTTTTTCGTCCGGCTTTTCCCTAGGCTGTTTGCTAGTCTCTCTCTCCGGTATTTTCCCTAGGCTGTTTGCTAGTCTCTCTCTCCGATATTTTCCCAGTTCTTCCCGTTTCTTCCCTCCTAAGTTTCCTATCCGTCCTAGGTTTCCTATCCGAGTCAGGTTTCCTATCCGAGTCACGGCACCATTATGTCGCTCCCCCTCTTCGTGGAGGAACGACACTAAACCCTGCCTAGGCTTCATATCCGAGTCACGGCACCATTATGTCGCTCCCCCTCTTCGTGGAGGAACGACACAGGACCCTGCGCTGTTCTTTGTCTGCTCGGCCCTCCCCGGGTTTGCTGCTGGTTCTTCCCGGGTTGGCTACTATCCCTTCCACCTCCGTGGAAGGGCAGTTCCCCCTGGCCACATTCCCCACTTCCGCAGGGGAGCGGCACACCGCCGGCCGGCTTTCTCGGGGGCTGCACGGGTGTTCCTTCAGCTAGATGTTCCCCATAGATGTTCCCCGGTGCATGCCGTCTCTCTCCTCCTTTATAGTCCTCCTCCGCCAATCCTAACTCGGCTGCCCACACGCCGAGTACGCTGCTCTCCAATCAGGAGCAAGTCCTACAGTTAATTGGTTGAACTGGAGGCAGCTGTGCGGAAGCTGTTTACTTCTCTCCCAGCGCCATATTGTGGGAGAGCAGATGCATAGAATAAGTCTTAATTCCAGTAACTTAGTCTAGTCCGAGCTGCTCCCCACAGAGGAGAGCAGATGCATAGAATAAGTCTTAATTCCAGTAACTTAGTCTAGTCCGAGCTTGCTCCCCACAATTTTACTTTGCTATACAAACTGTGAAGATATCTTAAGAGTTACAGAGTTTTAATAATTATAAAATGTTCTCTAATAAAAATAAAATCACTATATTTTTTGTGTTTATACAAAACACAAAAAGAGTGTGTGTACATCTGTTAGGTTAGTGTGTGAGTATATAAGGTATCAACATTTTAAAAAGCATTTTAATTTTTATAATGATTTGTTTTTTATAACAATGGTAATATTGTGATTTTTATTAGAATACTTATATTTCTAATATTTGAGTTTTGCTGTATCCCTTCTAGCCCTGTCTCAGAAACTTTATAAAAGCAAGCTGAATAATTCCTCTATTAGTTCCCAGATCTGTTAGAACTTCCTTCCTGTTTTCCTCCTCCTCCTTTCCCCAGATCTATTAAGGAATAAAAATAGTAACTTTTATCCTGTGTGCCAGTTACTGTTGTTTCTAATCCTCACTGTGATTCCACAATTGTTTTTATTAGCCTTACTCTACAAATAGAGAACCAAAGTTCAGAAAGTGTAATTTGTCTATGGTGTCACAGCTAATAGGTAATTAGACCATCACTCAGACCCATATCTTCTGACTTAAAAGCCTCTTTTCTTTCCATTATGCAACACTGTATCAGATGCAGGATATTTTTGTGAATATGCTCTGATTAATGCCAAGCAGAGATAGGGCTAGCTCTTAGTTCCCATTTATATAAAGCTTATGTAATGGTTTTCAAAACCTAAGATTCAGTATCGTCCTAATGCTTTCATAGGGTTCTTAAAGATTCTGGTCTATTTGAATAGACATCTACCGAAATGCTGGTAATCTATACAGATGTAGCATATTCTTTTGGCTTAGAGTAGTTACTGTCTGTGTATAAACACAACTCGTAAAAATGAACAGCTGAAAAATTTTACTCTCCAGCAATCAGAAAGGAGATTTGAAAGAGGAGAGAATAACAGGTGTACATACTGAATTTAACCAAAAGCTGCGGCCTAAACTCTTAATTTATCTTGGGAAATCAGAGAGCTGATGTTTCAAAAAAACTTTGTTAAGACATAGGAGTTAAATTTTTCCCCCCTTTGTGGTAAAGAAAGACAGAGCCATAACTTGCTTATTTAGTTTGAGCTGAATTGTGGGTTCTTTTTTTTCCCCCTTTATTTTTGTGATCCTAACTACTGCTTCTAGATAGACTCTGTTAGGAAGTCAATTTCTCCTCATGACTCATTCATGTTTCAGGTTGAATTTTTATGACTGATATGCAAGAAGACTGTGACGTGATTAGTTAAAGCTAAGTCAGATAGATTTCACACTCCATTAATTTAATTTATAAGGCTTTCTCATGTGACTTCAGCTTACTCTGTTTTTTCCAGAATAAGAGCAGAATTGCAGGAAGAGATTAAAAATTATATATAAATCTATTGCACAGAATGTTGAACTATTATAAATATGAATGATTTGCATATTTTCAAAAAGTAGATTTTTCAATGTTTTCTGCACAAAAAACAAGTATCTGAGTTGACAGGCTTATCAATTGGCTTGATTTAATCACCCACAAAGTAAGCATCAAAACATCACATTGTACCTCCTAAATATGTATAATTATTATTTGTCAATTAAAAATAATAAATCTTTAAAAATGTTTGTTTTATGTAAAGATTGTTCCTTAGTATATAGTATTATAGACCACAAGTGATATTATCCAAAAAATTAAAATGTAAATCTTTTTTAAGAAAAATTGAATTTTGTCTTCTAATGTTTTTAAAAATCTTTTGTCATCATTTATGAAATTGTTATATAGTTGTTTTGATATTAGTATGATAGGGCAGACAGATCTGGTGACCTAAACTCTAAAATATCTGACCAACTGGTAAGAATTGGTTGGCACATAAGGTTAGTGATAGTTTCACCTGGGAAAGTCCGCTAACTTTATTTTACTCAATAACCACATTCAGTCCAAACCCAATCATTCAACTATTTATGCACTGCCTACTTTGCAGGCAATTTGATTCATCAGTGAACCAAAGATCCTTATCCTAGAGCTTACATTCTAACAGGTAAACTGTAGACATAGTCAATAAATTGTTTCCTGTGGTAGAAAGCAGTAAATTTTATGGATAAAGTAAATAGAGCAGAATAACAAGGAGCAGGAATCCTAGGGTGTGGGAAAGGTGTTGCAATTTTAAACAGTAAAATTGCAACAAAGACTTGTAGGAGATCAGAAAATTAGCAGTATGGCTATGTGGGGATAAACATTCCAAGCAGATGAACAGCCTGAGCAAAGAACATAAGGTAGGAACATGAGTAGTGAGTTTGAGGAACCCCAAAGAAGAGAGTGTGAATGAAGAGTATATTAGAAAAAGAGGTCAGAAGTGGAAAGGTAATGGGGTAGGGGGTGGTCAGATCATGTGGGGTCTTGTGGGTCAGAGGACTTAGGCTTGTGTTCTCAGTGGAGTGAGATGTGGCAGAGTTTTAGTTGGATTTAATTAGTATGACTAAAGTTTGAATAGGACAGTTGTAGCTGCTGTGTTGAAAGACCATAAGGGCTTTAAGTAGAAGCAGTTAAAGTGTGGTCAGTCATAGACTCATGGTCTACACCAAGGATAATACATCCAGTGGTTAACAATAGAAGCTGCTCAAGTCTGACTGCTAGGGTTTAAATCCTATTACTCTTTTAGTAAGTGACTTAACTTTATATCTTCATTTCCTCATTTATAACATAAGAGTAATAATATCTCACAAAGTTGTGATATTAATAAGTGCTTGGCAGTGTAAACTAAAGGTTGGTAGTTCTTAGTGTTGTGTTATCATTCTGTATTTGTCAATTGCCAACTCACACTGGTGCTACTACCACAATGTTTAATAACTGTCCTTTACATTCCATATACACTTGCAGTATCATAAATCAAGCCACAGAAGCTCTTAGCTCTGCTACCATAGCCACTATCTAATTGATTCCCTTGCCCCTACTCCATGTGTCCCCGTCCATCTGGCACACTGCTGTTAAATTGTCACATTGCTTCCATGCACCTCTTTCTTCCATGCATTCTCTTTCTAAATTGTATGTATACTTGCACAAGACTCTCCTTCCTATAGTTCTAGTTGCCCTTCTCCAACACAAGTAGAAGTACTAAATGCCTTTACTCAAACTGCGTGGCTCCTCTGCAGATCTTCTCTGTCATTCAGAGTACTTTTAATTTCACTTCAAGTGCCACCAACCACATTTTCTACTTCACTTTTCTTTTTTTTGACAGAGTGGACAGTGAGAGAGAGAGACAGAGAGAAAGGTCTTCCTTTTGCCGTTGGTTCACCCTCCAATGGCCACCGTGGCTGGCGTACCGTGCTGATCCAAAGCCAGGAGCCAGGTGCTTCTCCTGGTCTCCCATGGGGTGCAGGGCCCAAGCACTTGGGCCATCCTCCACTGCTCTCCCGGGCCACAGCAGAGAGCTGGCCTGGAAGGGGGGCAACCGGGACAGAATCCAGCACCCTGACTGGGACTAGAACTCGGTGTGCCGGCGCCACAGGCGGAGGATAGCCTATTGAGCTGCGGCGCCGGCCTCTACTTCACTTTTCACAATAACAATTCCTCCTTGGTCCTGTAATCATTCGCATACTTCTCTAATCATTAGTTTTGGAACATTAGGTATGAGACTATATCTCTTACAGTATCATATTTGTGTCCTTCTACAAATCCATACAAGGTAGTAAATATTTTAATAAACATTTGTTGAATTCATTTTCTTTCAACTGTCATTTTCCTTTAGGAATGATCAACAACATCAGGCAACTGAGCTTGAATGTGAGGAATATGAGGAATATGTTATTCCAGATTCTCCAATAACAGCCTTTTCATTTTCTGGCATTAACCGACTACGAAGAAAAGAGAACCTCCATGTCCGATACACAGAACAGACACATAATAAAGTAGAGCACTCTGTGGGCACAAATGGTAAGAAGTTGGATTTATCTTTTAGTTACCTCATTTTTAAAAAAAGATATTCATCTATTGTTAGTTTGCATTATTCTGTCCAATGAAACACGGATAGTCATTTTTCAGGTAACGCCTGGTATAGCTAAGTTTAACTTTCATTGCCTGAGAAAGAATTTTTCTACCTGTATTATGTATAGACATGTGATATGCATCTGAGTATGTAAATACTATGCATTTTATAAATATAGTAAATAGCTTCTTTTATTTTCACTTAAGAAAGAATAAGTATTCTGTGGTATCAGTGCAGCTTTCCCCTGTTATATATTGGTTTGTAACACCATCTAGTGGAAAACAAAAGAACTGTTAGAAGTCAAATTTAAAGGGAAGATCATAGATCTAGAATGAATATTGATTGGCTTTTTAGTCTGCTGTCAAGACATGACTTATTACAAATAATCATCTACATAATTTAGATAGTGTTTAAATCCATGTATAAAAATATCCAGAAAACCAGTCATAGCAATTTGCTTTTCTAACAAGTCTTCTTTTGTATCCAGTATAAATGATTGTTTTATTTCTTCATTGTATGAGAGCAGCATTTAACTATTCAAAAATTGAATTTGTTTTAATTTTGTTATCCTTTTATATGACTTTTGAAATTTTGATTTGAAGGTAGTTTTTGAGCCATGCAAATTATTTTAAAATAAATCATACACAATTTAATTACTAATTAGTCCTGTTCTCTAACTGCTGATCTATTGGTTTCTCTTCTCAAATGCCTATAGTAAACCAGGGTTGGAACAGGACAAAGCAAGAAGTTGGGAACTCAGTCCAGGTTTCCCATATGGGTGGCAGGAACCCAAATACTTGAACTATCACCTCCTGCCTGCTAGGGAATGCATTAGTAGGAAACTGGAATTGAAAGTGGAGCTGGGACTTAAGTTCAGACACTCTAATGTGTGTTGGCATCCCAAACAACTTTTAACTGCTGCGCCAAATGCCTGCCTTTTAATTAAAATCAAAAGTAAAGCTTTATTTTCCTTTTGTCCTCTTTTTGGGGTTGGAGGTTTCTTGAATTGAATCCTTAAATAGTAAAATTTCTGATGAATATTTCAAGGTTTTCTTCCAGAAAATGAAAACTTTAAAACAAAGATTGAGAAGATACATGATGCAGTACACATTGTAAACTCACCTGCTGATTAGTAACAACTACAAGAGAAAGAAATGTTAAAACTTAGAAGAAACTTTTGTTCTAGCCCTCCCTCACCCACTGTCCTAATTTATAGATGAAACTAAAGGCACTTATTTCTTAGAATATGATAATTATGTTAGTAAAATGTAAGTGTTTGTAATGTTTAAAGACAGGTTCATATTGATTTACCACATGGGATTTTAATAATATTTTCCCTCATGATTGCTTGTTTATTATGCAGTCTTTTCCCCTTTTTTTTTTCTCCATAGAATTGAGAAAAGTTTCGAAGCCTTTAACTCACCCACAACATCCTAATGAAAATGAAATCCTCGTAGCTGATACTTGTGATCAAAGTCAGTCTCCAGTGGCTAGTAAGTAATATACTTAGATTACAAGTTTAAAATCTGTAGTTATTGGTAGGCAAGAGTGACCACCAGTCTGCACTAAATAGCATTTTTAATATATTTTCCATGTATTCTTTTGTATTACTAGCTGTTTGTATTACTAGTTGTTTAGAAGTCTTGCTGGTTTTGGTGTGGGGGTAATTAAAAGTCGGGGGTTTACTTTTGGGAATATTCTGTTTGATTTTGGGTGGGAGGATGGATGTAAGTTCAAGTTTAAGGAGAAGTTCAAGATGGAAAAACAAGGAAGTTGTGAGCATATAGATTGTATCTAAAACCATGAGACTGAATGAAATTGCTAAGCAAGGCCTATACATGGGGAGGAGAGGTTCAAGAACTGAGCCCTGGGGAACTCTGTTACATAAAACATTGATTCTCAACTTTTGTTTTATCATCACAGCCTCTCCAAGAACTATTTTAGGTATTTTCTCTCTTAATGACTTCCTCCATGAAATTTTTTAAAAGAATAAAAAATTTTAAATTGTATTCTTTATTTTAATTGTTTAAGAGAGAAACAGAGAGCTCCCATGCAGTGATTCATTCCCTGGATGCGCACAATGGCCAGGCTGAAACTTGGTTCAGGGAACTCAATCCATGTCTGCCATGTGGGTGGCAAGGACTCAAGTACTTCAGCCATCACCAGCAGCCTCCTAGTGTGTACATTAGGAAGCAGCTGGAATAGAGGGTAGAGCTGGGACTCCAAACCCAGGCACTCTTCGGATGTGGGTCTCCCAAATGACATCTTAACTACTAGGCCAAATGACCACCCACTCCATGGAATTTTAATACTGCACAAATACTACATATTTGTTTATGTGCTGGGTGTATGTTTATATGTCTCTGCTTTATACATAAAAAGAGTAAGATTATTTTGTCCCCCCACCATTTTTTTTTAAGATTTGTTTATATTTTGAAGGGCAGAGTTACAAAGAGAGATCGAAATTTTCCATCCGCTGGTTCACTCCCCAACCCAAATGGTTGCAATGGCCAGGGGTGGGCCAGGCCAAAGCCAGGAGCCAAGAGCTGCTTCCACGCTTCCACATGGGTGGCAGGTACCCAGGCACTTGGGCCATCCTCCACTGCTTTCCCAGGCACAAGAGCAGGGAGCTAGATTGGACATAGAGCAGCTGGAACTCAAACCAGCACCCACATGGGATACCAACACTGCAGGCAGAGGTTTTACCTGCTATGCCATGGCGCCAGCCCCTTAATTGTCCCTCTAAGAACAATTTTTCACCCACTTGGAGGCAATATTGCAGCTGTTGAGGTTTTGATTCAGGGATTATGAAGATGAGGAAGAACCAACAAAGTAGCCAGAGAAGGAGCTGCCCATGAGACAGGAGTATTCTGTAAGCCAAGTGGAAGGAAGAGCAAGGAATGTTTGTGTTAAAAACAGCTGGTAGGCCGGCACCATGGAGCAGTAGGTTAATCCTCTGCCTGCGGTGCCAACATCCCATATGGGCGCCAGTTCTAATCCCGGCTGCTCCTTTTCCAATCCAGCTCTCTGCTGTGGCCTGGAGGATGGCCCAGGTCCTTGGGCCCCTGCACCCACACAAGAGACCAGGAAGAGGCTCCTGGCTCCTGGCTTAAGATCGGCGCAGCTCCGGCCATTACAGCCATTTGGGGAGTGAACCAACAGACGGAAGACCTTTCTCTCTGTCTCTCCCTCTCACTGTCTGTAACTCTACCTCTTAAATAAATAAATAAAATCTTTATTTAAAAAAAAAAAAACAGCTGGTAGCTCTGACCTCAGAATCAGCCTCTAAGGCACTCTGGTCTGGCTGGAAAGCCCAGGGGGAGCATTTCAGGCATGGAAAGCCAAGACACTCTGGCAAAAAATGTCCTACATAAAGGATCCCTGTGGGTTAGACCCCAGTAGAAAGAAGTGACCACCAAAGAAGGAGGTACTTTTCTCTGAAGGGAAGAGAGAACTTCCACTTTGCTTATAGCCTTATCAAGCAAGTGGATCTAAAAGGCTTCCATAGCCAAGGCAGCTCATGTCAAGAGACTTGGGTGATCACTGATGTCATACTTAAGAGTGTTACTTGTTAAATACACAGAGTCAATGTGCTCTAATTTCCCATGCAGGACCTCTGTCCCCAAAAAGTTGTACTATGAGACTTAATAGTAAAACTTGTTCTCAAGAATCATTTCCTTTTAGTGTATTAAATGGAAGATATTATTATGTCTCATAAGTTATAGTTATGTCTAAGAGCTCACAAAAGATGTATCATCCTTGGGTTCTTCTTTAAAGACAATTAAGCTTATAAAAGGAAAGAAGGGAGAGGAAGGAAGGGAAAAGAGGAAGGAGGGAAAAAGTTAAATCACCTTCGAGAAACAGTAACAGAACAGGCCTTGTCTAGACTGTTGAAGGGCAGTTCTCTTAGCTTTTTCATTCCATTCTTTCATTTTTTTTCTTTCTCAGAATAAACAGGAGAGGGAGAAGGAAGAGGAGGGGGAGAGTGGGTAGGAAGAATTACTATGTTCCTAATGTTGTATTTATGAGATACATACAAATAAATAAAGTGAACCTTAAAAAAAAAGAAGAAAAGTGCTGGTAGGTCAGTTAAGATGAATACTACTTAGAATTGCCCATTAGGTTTGGTTGCATAGAGATCATTCAATGTTAAGCTAGTAACCTGATAAAAAACTGTTAAGGTGTAACATTTTTGGTATCAAGCTGAAGAGAAACTAGAGATAGAGAAAGTAGAAAGAGCACACATAGACCTGTTTTCTTGGACATATCACGGTGAAGGAGATGAGAGAATGGGACAGTGGCCAGAGAGGAATATGGGTCAAGGGAAAGTTGTGAGTTGTTTTTGTTTTGTTTTGTTTTGTTTAAATTTTACTTATTTGAGAGACAGAGCTCTCATCTGCTAGTTCACTTCCCAAATGCCCACATTGGCAGGGACTTGGCCAAGCAGAAGTCAGGAACCAGGAATTCAATCCACATCTCCCATATGGGTAGCAGAGACCCAAATAATGAGCCATCACCTGCTGCCTCTCAGGGTCTACATTGGCAGGAAGCTAGAGCCGGGTGTGGAGCCTAAGTACTCCAATATGAAACCTGGTTGTCTTAACTGCTAGGTCAAACACTTGCCTCCAAGGGTGGGTTTTTTAAGATGGAATATAATAGCATGTTCAGTGTATTTTTATGCTGATGGAATGATCGATGAAAGGGGGAGATTAGTAATTAGGGAGAAAGAGAGAATAGTAGCTAAATCCTTAAAAAGATGGCAGGAAATAAAACCTACAGCCCAGCTGGAAGCACTGATAAAGGTTAATCACTAGTTTTATTTATTTATTTTAAATGATAATTCTTATTGGTTTTTATTTGTTCATTTTCTTTTTTATTTGAAAAGCAGAGAGACAGAAAGATATAGAATGATCTTCCATTGATAGTTCATTCCCAATGGCCCACAACATCCAAGCTATGTAGGAGGCTGAATCCAGGATCCCAGAACTCAATCCATGAGTCCCACAAGTTCTTAAGCCATCATCTGCTGCCTCCCAGGGTGTGTACATTAAAGTGGATTAAAGGCAGCATAGTCAATACTCGAAACAGGCGCTCAGATATGGGATGCAGATGTGCCAAGCAGCAGCTTAACCACTCTACCAAACACCATCCTCTAATCATTTTATATTAATGGGAAAATTGTGTTCTGAAAGCTATAAATCATTGTATAATATGTGTGTATTTGTGTGTGCACAAGTATGTGTGCACATTATAGACAGGGTTGTTGGGGATGTAACACTGAGTGGCAGATCTCTGCTGCTGCACACTCTCGAACCCATTCTCTTCTGCTACTGCCAGGACTTCACCCCACCAGTTGTACTCTTTATCTCCAGTTGCCCTCTTGGTCTTTTCTTTTCAACATGTATATGTGTGTTATCGTCTACCTTTTAACAATGGCAATTCTTAATTGTTTCCACCTTTAGCTATAGCTTCTCTTCAAAGTATCTCCACTTTCTTTTTTTTTTTAATATTTTATTTATTTTTTTTAACTTTTATTTAATGAATATAAATTTCCAAAGTACGATTTATGGATTACAATGGCTTCCCCCACATACCGTCCCTCCCACCCACTACCCTCCCCTTTCCTATTCCCTCTCCCCTTCCATTCACATCAAGATTCATTTTCGATTATCTTAATATACAGAAGATCAGCTTAGTATACATTAAGTAAGGATTTCAACAGTTTGCTCTCACACAGAAACATAAAGTGAAAAATAATAGATGATTTTTTTTAAATGATGATGAAATCAGATCAGACCTATTGTCATGTTTAATCCCAGTGAGAGTCAAGTTGGGAGTTGATAATTTTTTTTTTTTTTTTACAGAGGATCAGTTTAGTATACATTAAGTAAAGATTTCAACAGTTTGCACCCCCATAAAAACACAAAGTGAAATATATTGTTTGAGTACTCGTTATAGCATTAAATCTCAATACACAGCACATTGAGGACAGAGATCCTACATGAGGAGTAAGTGCACAGTGACTCCTGTTGTTGACTTTACCAATTGACACTCCTGTCTATGGCATCAGTAGTCTCCCTATGCTCCGGTCATGAGTTTCCAAGGCTATGGAAGCCCTCTGAGTTCTCCGATTCTTATCTTGTTTAGACAAGGTCATAGTCAAAGTGGAGGTTCTCTCCTCCCTTCAGAGAAAGGTACCTCCTTCTTTGATGACCTGTTCTTTCCACTGGGATCTCACTCACAGAGATCTTTTGCGAGAGTGTCTTGGCTTTCCATGCCTGAAATACTCCCATGGGCTTTTCAGCCAGATCCGAATGCCTTTAGGGCTGATTCTGAGGCCAGAGTGCTATTTAGGACATCTGCCATTCTATGAGTCTGCTGAGTATCTCACTTCCCATGTTGGATCACTCTCCCCTTTATTTATTCCATCGGTTAGTGTTAGCAGGTACTAGACTTGTTTATGTGCTCCCTTTGACTCTTAGTCCTTTCATTA